ATGAACAGGCTGTAGGTCAGTCTTCTGAGACGGGCCACCGGTGTTCTCGCCTCAATTCTGTGTGGGAGGACATGGCTCAGCGTGGGCCATGGCCGCCACCTCGGGTCTGTGGGAGGTGTGGTGTGGTGGCACACAAGGATGCCGTGGTCACGTGGGCCTTTTTGAGGGGAAGGGAGGTGCCAGGGTTGCTTGGCCCAGCGAGAGAACCCTGCAAGGGCGTGGGTGGCAGCGACACAGGCCCCTCGCCTCTTGTCATGGGTTGGCAGACTTGGGTGGTCCCTTAGTGGGCCCGTTCAGGACAGCGAGGACCAGCTGCTCCCTGCTTCCCTGGCAGGAGGGGGGCCCCTGGAGTTGGTGCCAGGATGTGTCCCGGTCAGGGTCAAGCTGTCGGGAGGGAAATTAACTGAATGAATCCCAGGAAGTCAGTGCTCACAGGAATATGGCCCAGGTGCCCTGGAGAAAGGGGACCCCCGGCTGGTCAGGGCCAGGAGGAGCTGGGCTTCATTACGTTGATGGAGTATTTCCCATTCTTCTTCTGGTTTTCTTGGACACGGACCGGCCCACACACTCCATGCACACCTGCAGCCGCCAGGAAGATGCCGGGAGTGGAGTCCAGCCCCTGGCGGTGCGTGGCAAGAGTGGACCCCTCTCAGGAACAGGGTGCCTCTCCCAGGTGGCCGGCTCATTCCACGCCCTGAGTTCTCGGGCTGGGCCCCTGTGCAGCCCACCCAACACACCTCATTCTCAAGCCTCACCCGCCTCGGATAGGGGGGCGATTTTCATTCTCCATGTTTAGGGGAGAGACGGCGCCAGGTCGCCCAAGTCCTGCTCCACCTCACCTGCCCAGGGTCACACGCACAGGCTCGGCTTTGCCGAGTGTGAAGTCAGTGGAGTCTGCGAGCGTGTGTGCAAGAGTGAGAGTATGGCGTTGGTGGCGGGCATGGTCTTCCTTGATGCAGCTGAGACGGGCAACGGACATGGAATTCGAAATCATTTTATGCTGCCATTTCTTAAATGTTCTATTTCGGCGGAAGACGCAGTCCCGTTTTCCTTTAAGTCGGATTCAGGGTCATCTGAGCATGGGGAAAATAGAAGCCCAGACCCGGAAATCTGAAGCCAAAGAGGGTTCCAGTGGGTGGGGGCTGTGGGCAGCTCTAGGGGATGCTTAGCGCCAATCTTCCCTCCGGGCCGCGGCTGAGATCTGGCTCCCACCCAGATCCCCTCTGCTTCCAGGGCGTCTTGCCCCCAGGGTTCCCGTCTGTCCCCCAATTCCCCTTTCCCTAAGGGGTCCCCCTTGCTACAGGACTGCCCTTGCCTTCCAGGCTCCCTTGCCCGCCCAGGTCTTCCTTCTGCCCCCCCCGGTTCCCTCTGTCCTTCAGGCCCACTCTCCACCCTCTTCACCAGTCCCCTTCTTTTCCCAGGGTCTTCCCTTCTACTTTTAGAAAACCCCCCTCTGTCTCTAGGGCCCCATCTCCTGCTGGCGGCACTGTGCAGCAGAAATGTGGCTCTGTCTGAGGAGCCGCTGGCCCTGCCCCCCGCCCAGGGGAGACCCAGAAGCGTCTGTGCTGGGGGCGTGCTCTGGGCGGCCCCTGCCTCTGTCTGTGTCTCCTCTTTTGTCTCTTCTAAGGACACGTGTCATTGGATTTAGGGCCTATGTTCATCCAGAATGATCTCCTCCTACACCTGCCACAGGACCCCGAGGGTGGCGGGGCCAGGCCACGCTGAGCCATGTCTCCACACAGATGAGGGCGAGAACACGGTGGCCGTCTCGGAGACTGACTACAGGCTGTTCATCACCTTCCACCTTGGGAGGGAAGATGTGGGCGCTAAGCATCCCCAGAGCTGTCCCACAGCCCCCACCCACTGGAACTCTTTGTCTTCAGATTTCGGGGGTCTGGTATTCTATTTTCATGGCCTCAGATGACCTGAATCGGATTAAAGAAAACGGGGACTTGCGGGTCTTCGTCCGGAATATAGAACATTTGAAGAATGGCAGCCTAAAATTTGATTTCGAATTCATGTGCGTGTTGCCCGTCTCAGCTGGCATCAGGAAGACCCATGCCCCTGCCACCCCAACGCATACTCTCACTCTTGCACACACAGGCTCGCACACTCACTGACTCACACTCTGGCAAGAGCCTGAGCCTGTGCGTGTGACCCCTGGGGGCAGGGTGAGGTGGGAGCAGGGACTTGGTTGACCTGGCGCCGTGCTCTCCCCTAAACATGGAGATGAAATCGCCCCCCTTCCGAGGCTGGGGTGAGGCTTGAGGAGATGAGGGTGTTGGGTGGGCTGCACCCCGCGCCGTTGTGCAGAGGAACTACAACATGGCCAGGGTGCGTCTGCGTTGGGGTCTGTGGGGAAGGGGCCAGACTTCAAGGCAATGGTCCTC